CCGGGGGACCCGGGGGACCGGCTGTGCCAGCCCAGCCTGCGCAGCGGCTCTCCTGGAATGCGCGGTCGCCCCTTTCCAAGCCCCTCTTTCCTCTCCGCAGTCTGCCACCACCGGTTCCTGTTCCACACAATTGTAACTGCCGATCCCCACCGAGACACTTGGGCAATTTCCTGCCGGGTCTGTGGGGGCTGTGGGCCAGGCCCGGCTGGCTTGGCTGAGCAGAGCGGGGATTTTCTCCTCTGTGTGTGATTTTTTTTTTTTTTCCTCTGCACACCAAAGTGGCTGCCCCTGCCCTCGCCCTCACCACACCCATTCTCCATCAGCTTCCTGCTTGGCTCCCGAATCCCGCCAGAACCCGGGCCAACTGCCAGCCAGGGCAACCCAGGAGCCAGGTGTTGCGGAGAGCCGGGAACAAAGTTTAGGGGCGCAATATTCACGGACAGGATGACTTTGGGAGGGGACACGTCCTCCTCCATCACAGCCATAATCGGCATCGCGTGCTGAGTGGATTTAGGGACACGGCGTCCTCCAGGGCTGGGGCGTCTGACAGAGACGGGTGTCACAGCTCCCGGCCGCGTGCATCTCTCTATGTAGCCCAGGCGGGCCTGGAACTCGCTGCAATCCTCCTGCCTCAGCCTCCTGAGGGCTGGGATCCTCCTGCCTCAGCCTCCTGAGTGGAGGGCACCACGCCGGCCGGCAATTGAATCCTGAGCAGAGTCTGGGGGTCCCTGCCCCTCCTCCAGGCCACCGTCCCGCGCACCTGGACATCTGTGCTGGGGACAGAGAGGGGACCCGGGCTCTGGACACGAGCACACCAGTCCCCAGATGTCCTCAGCCGGGCCGGTGAGCGTGGGGTCTCGGAGAATGTTTTCAAGTCACTTCAGAGGCGGGGGTGGCGTCCGCCTGTGCTCCCAGCTGTCCCGGAGGCTGAGGCAGGAGGATCTCGAGTTCCAGCCCAGCCTGGGCGGCTTAGCGTCTTGGGAGACCCTGTGTGAAAATAAGAAGCGACAGGACTAGGACCGCCGGGCGCCGAGGTCTTGGGCTTCACCCCCGGTGCCTCCAAGTCAAATGCACTCGGGGGAGCCGGTTCTGGGCCCCGCACAGGGCCACCGAGGCCGACGGGACGCAAAGCCACTTCCTGCCCCCCACCACGCCGCAGTCACTGTCCAAGGCGAGGACGCAGTGTTGCAACCCGGATGACCCCGTGCGGTTCCCCGGAACGTGCACTGCGCCCGGCAGCC